ATTCCCCCTATTTACTGATTGTCAGAGAGATGATCTAGGTCATTTCTATTTCACCTGTTTGAAAAGAACTCTTGGAATAACTTATTGGAATGACCTCCTATTTTCTTATCTACTCAACGAGAAGTCCCTAGAAAGTAGATGCTTATGTTATTGGAAGAGATATAGAACCTATCTGAATAATTCAGTTGACGGTTACCTACTTTTTGAGCAGCTGACCTTAAACTCGCTTCGCAACCAATGGTTGAATAGAGAGTTCGTAATAAAATTCATATACAGATCAGAAAGACTAGTGCCTTTTATCCCATCTCTAGTAAAATGCCTTAAATGGATGGAGGATTTTGATGTTTTGACCTCCATTCCCCTCATTCCATCTGAAGATCTCCGTCTACTATCACTATTTCCTGAATCATTTGTATGATTAGAAGGTATAGTGGTGCGGCATGTTCCAGTCCTCTAGACCATTGTGGTTTTCCTTCTCTCCCATCCTTTCGTCCTATCTCCTGCGCCTTGAAACGAATGATCTCTATCCTTTTAAGTAACTAGTATAACAAGTTTTGTTTTTGTTCTTTTTGTTCTTGTTTTCTTTTCTCTTCTTCTTTTTCTTTCTTCTTCTCGTCTTCTCTTGTAATTGCCATTATCTCTTCTCTACTTTTGTTCTTGATGGGTGGTCGTGTACGTGATACTTGCATTTTACAAATCTATTACGTTTTTGTGCGCGCCTTCTCACCTACCTTTGGCCTTTTGCTCGTATTCTCTCTTCTCTGCCTTAGATATAACTTGTTATTCTTTTTAAATCCTGGTGTATTAACAGGCCTTCGGGCATTAACCTCTAATAAAGCACAAAAAAAAAAAAAAAAATAACTGTCATCTACTCCAGCGTAGACTATGTTATATAAAGATAACGTCCAACGTGTTCTTTTGTTAGAATGTCCTAACATTTAGCACAGAAGAAAAGTGTGATAATTCATTGAAATTATTACGGTCGAAGAGGAAAGAAAAAAAGAGAGAGAGAGAAGAAAAGAAAAGAATAAGAAAAAAAGATGTAGGAGCACTCGAATAAAGTTAAATGTATTTAAATAAATATTTGGATAGAAATTCGTTCCGAATATTTGGAACCGAACCGAAAAATTTTTAAACCGGATCGATCATATCACTGATATTTATAATAGGAAATACAATCAACAGGATAAAAATTAACCAAATCATGATACGATGGATGAATTTTTATACAATAAGTACAGAGTCGTCCTGGATATGTATATGCTGAATCAATTAGTCGTACTCTAGTAAAACTTGGTCGCTTGGAAATTTTTGGAAGAAATAAGTTTTTATTTCTCTCTCCTCTAAATGTTTTTGGAGAGACCAATGTCTATTCATTGTAATATTTGTGCGCTGTCTATGAACTGACTTTAATTCTTTTAGTGAGAATGGATGAATATTATTCCAGTGTTAGAGGGAACTTTTAGAAAAAAGAAAGTCAATTTGAAATAGCATTAATGTTTTTTTTTTTATTATTTATATGATCTCATGTCGAACATGAATAACAGAGAACGTATTCATCAAGATTAAAAACAAACATACATGAGACTGGATCAATCGTCATATAACCAGTACGTAGTCACACTAAATATATTTGTTGAATTGAGAAGTTTTACAACAGTGTACGAAAGAAAGTATGACCAATTTGAAGAAGCAATGAATGTTTATCACTTCCGGGAAAATTTCTGTAAGGAAAGCAATTGCTGTCTTGATAGGGTTGATGCACTGTTCATAGTAGTCATTAACTACACAGTGGGACACATGTACATTTGCAGATGAAGACTTCCACCATCAAGTGATGCGTGTATAGTAAAACTATTGCAGACTGTTAATATTTGAGTAGAGAGTACCAACTTCAATACATCCTTTTATAGACATAGCGAGTGTAGTGCTGCCAACTGGCATATGAACATAACGCAATTGAGGTTGATAATATAGATATATATACATCAGATAATGGAGAAATTTTTCCTCTACAGTTCTACATATACCCTGTTCCAAAGTCAAAGTCTCATAGTCACCTTGAACTATATGAATTTATAGCTCTAATACGTGATCTGGTAATTGAGTTTAGGATAAATTTGAGAGTGATAAATACACAACGTTTAGATGAAGTCTACGCTAAAAGCTGGGTTCATCCATTTTTCACTTCAATAGAGCTTAGCACACTATCCGAGCACTAGTCATTCTTTAGATACGAAACGATATATTATAGAGGGCCCTAGTATTGTAAATATTTTCGATAATTTGTCGCGATCAGAAATCTATTCAAATGTAAGTTTTCCTGCTGAGATTGACCTCAACGTGGAAACCAAATTTAGTGATTGTAGATAAAATCTATTCGTTTATTTATTTGTTTTAGGTAGACACATTTCAATAACACAATGTGTGGTGAATATTTTTAACGACACTTACGTATTTTCTTTGATTTAGATTATTTTCTCTATCAACATAAGCAGTAATTGATTTCTTAGAAAATTTATTTTTTATCATTTAGATCAATCTCAATATGAAAATCGATATTTACTATTTATATATAACAATTGTTTATTTTTAATTATTCAAATTAATCTCAATAATACAACGAACAGTAAGCACTTCTTGAGAAAACTTATGTATCTTTTTTATTTTGATCACTATCTATAGCAACATAAATAGTAAGTAATTGTTTA